AAAAAAAAAGGAAAACCAATTCGTTCTGTAAACTTCCATTCAAATTACAAGTGAAACTTTTTTTTCCAAGTACACACAACGTGGATATAGCTTCTACTCCCTTATCTCACTAATGTTTAAAAGTGAAAACTATGGGATATGTTGGCTACAAATAGCCACCATGTGAATAAGTCCTGAATACGAGACCAAGATGCACGCATACAGGGCATAGGATGTCACCTGAAGTCAGTGATGGTGATGAAGACTTCCTGGGACACGGAGCTGAGGAGGCAACAGCCCAGGGGCTCCTCTTGCAACAGCAGCTGCAAAGAGAGGGGAGGACGTTTAGAGAGTCAAGATGTGCCAAGCAACTAGGCCAATTGACGAATGTGGATGGCTTTCCAGAACAGCAGTAGGCACTTCAGTGGGCCTCACTCCCCAGCTCCGTGGGATTGGTGGCCGGGGAGTGGTTCAGACTTCGTCCCCTGGAGTCAGGGCCGGGCTCTTACCAGTTGTTTGAGCTGCTATGTCAGTTCACTGCCCTGTAGCTGTTCTCTCATCCATACAATGAGATAACAATGGGCCTCACTCTCCATCCTTCTTCATCCCATTCTGACACAAACCGTCCCTATGACAGACACTCTGCTTCTCTCCTGGGTTCGCTAACTCATTGCAATCGCCACACAGAACTCACAGACACTACTCAGGATGATGGGCTTGATTAAGGAAGTTAACAAGTTACAAAATGTTAAGGATACAGTTCTTTGGTCTGCTGTACCGCTTCGCTCTGTGGTCCTCAACTTCCCGGCCACATGATCTCTTGGCCTCTGTCTGGTTCCACGGGCCAGGAAGTGCACTGCTCTATCTCACAGTCTCTGTGCTGCTCTTTGCTCTGCCTCATGGTCTCCGTGTGGCTCCTCTACTCTGTCTACTGAGCTCGGTGCTGCGGCCTATGGTGTCAGTGCTGCCCCCCCAACTTCAGACAGGGATCTCCCACGTGCTCAGCAGATGGCCCTTCTTTCTAGATGGTCACGCATGCTTTCTCTTCCTGCTTCTGAGGTGATTCGCTTAACTATCCAGTGAAATGGCAAACGGACTAATCCCTACCATCGGTGTTTCACACGCTCTGTGCGTATGACTCTCCCCCGCCCCAGTCATTTGCTGGTGGTTCTAAAGACACAAGCGCAGAACCACACCAAGTAACGTCACTTCACAGACCAGCATTCAGCAGATGTTCCTTCCCTGCTTGTTGGAGGCTTCTTTTTCTTACTTTCTAACTTTAGAGTGACTCCGACATCTTGCTTGTGGCCTGCTGGTCTTCCTGTACTCATTTCTCAAGCGCTCATTCATTTGTATGGCTTCACAGTCTGGCCTTGATAACGCTCCAAGGGCTCTCATTACGCGAGTCTAGTGATCTCAAGGGCACTGCCACGGAAATCACAGCCGAGACGTGGCATTTTGGTGCTCAGCACTGCGTTCACTCTCTTTCCTTTCCAAAGGGCATGGACCCTCAGCATTCAAGAGTGGTCCGTGATGTGGCCTTGCTCCGGAGCTCATGCAACAGAGGGCTTGTGATCTCCCTTCCTTTGTCCATCAATCACAGGGATAGCCACTCTGGCTACAAAGTTTTTACCATTCTCCATTCTTATGCCTCACAGCTAAACCCTCAGGCCTGCAGCCTTTTCTGACTTATCTACTTGACTTACTTCTGCCAAATGTATCGTTGGTTTTCTTGTTTTAATGAGCTCGGTATTAAAGGCTTACACGTGTTATTCACAATTGTGCTGGCCACAGTGGGGAATTCAGAAGCGAGAGACTCTTTGTTTGTCTAGTAGGCACCCAGAGGCTGACTGCCTGGATCATATGATATCCCCTTGTGTTAGTCTGGGTAGACTAGAGAAACAAATTCATGGAGACACTCAAATGTATATAAGGGAGAGGTTTCTATATAAGAACAATTGAACATTGAGAAAACAGCCCAGCCCAGTCCAGATCAAGTCCATAAGTCCGATATTAGCCCATATGTCCGATACTAATCTATAAAGTCCTCTTCAGACTCATGAAACACAGGCAAAGACGCCGAATGTAGAAGATCACGGGCCAGTGGGTAGAAAGTCTTTGGATCCAGTGGCACTGGAAACATCTCAGTGCTGGCAGGGG